AAGCTTTAGCATGTAACAATAGCTTTTTGCTGTCAGTGATTACGCCCAGCCTTTTTCTCAAATCCATGTTTCCACTCCATGGCTTACTACAGATTGAACATTACGCAAGGATTTCATTATCTTGACAATGATGGCTCTGTTAATCCACTGTACAGTGACTCCAGTCTACCAGCAGTAGTCGTTCCACATCCATGGCACATACGCATTCAACACAAATCGGGCTGAACTTTTTCAATCTCCCAACTATAATACTCCGTTTTGCTCACTCGCTAAGTAGCAATAACCTGGCACCGAGAAAGGATGCTAAATCCTTCTGTAAGTGATCATGGCGCACATTTCGACCGCGCTTACTTATAACACATTTCCCTTTCCATCTACACACGTTTGCTACAACAGCGGCGGCGGCTGCTCACCCTCCCGATGAATCGATGAGCGCTTGAACGAACTGCGTTCAGGGGCTTGGGGTAGCAGGCCGCCGAAAATCGATTCATCCGGGTGGATTGATCGCAGGATGCTGATTTGCAATCCAATTTTCTATGGCGACGGCCGCACTGGCGGCTCTGACAGGACCGAGCCAACAAGTAGCAACAGTCGTAGCGGAAGAAAACACGGCGCTTCAACAGGCCTGTCTCAAATACCTACCTGTCTACCTGTGTACCTCGTTTCTTGTCGGCAGTCTCCTCAATGCGCTGCTGATTCAGCCAGTCTAATCTTCTATAGTTGCTGCAACTGCGCATTTGTACCACTGCCTCTCCTCCCCTCTTCCTGCCGTCGTCCCTTTCGAATTACGTTCATATCCCGTTCCGAATTGCCTCCATCCAAAGTTCCAATGACGGCCCCCTTGTTTTCGCCGTTTTCTATTACATCATCGTTGCAGCCAAAAGACTCCGATCCATATTATGGCGCAACGCATTAGCGGATTAACTTTCGCCTACCAAAGCTCTGGGATATTCATAATCGCATGCTGCGGTACGCTACATTTCACAGAGTTTAAACACCCATACATTGAGCTTCACAGGTAGGCTAATCCCCGCTGTATGATCGTCGTTTCGCTATGGAATTACAAGCCTGACGTTGATCGTGTTCAAGGTAGGAACAACAACAAATAGACATGTAGCTATGTGAGAAATCATTTACATACGTTTGTGCACTTCTTTCACACGAATGAGCCTGAACGAATGAAGTAATACCCGCTTATTTGTGTTTCGGTTTGTCGCTCTTCGTTTGTGGCGTTTTTCCAGGAACAAACCGAAGAAGAAGACAAGAAAAATATTTTTTTCAATGAGAAAAGTATGCAAAAAAAATCTACCCACCACACGAATTCGTTTTATCGGTTTGTCGTCCAGGTGCTCGCAAAAATTTTAGATATATTAGCATTAGCTGCACAGATGCAGAGGGGTACCGTGTACTGAATAAGCAAATAAAACATCTCCATCGTTTCTCTCCGGACTGCGCCGTTTGTTTAATATATATTTTTATACTCGAAGGTCAATTGTAAGTAATTTATGCTACATTAATTATTTCCACTATGACCTTAAGCACGAAACAAGTGGAGGTATATGTAGAGGGCACAATGAAGTTCCAAGAAAGTTGACGAAGTGCAGAAGCCTTTTGCCTACTTGTTGACGACATCTTGTTAAGTTTATCTTTATTTGAAGATGCGAATTGCTGTTATTTCACAACTATGTTTAGCTATAATATCTAGAAGAAATCATTGTGAACATGCGATCGTGGTTTACATTATAGTTACTATTCAGAGAATCTAGTAATATCTCTTACGCTATTTCCAAGATTAAGATTTCTTTTTGACCAAGCGTTATTGTTAATTATCCATCCATAAGTAAGTCGGTATGCTTGCACCACTAAGCGTAACACTTTTAGCAATGCCTCTAATATTCAACAATTTATCCATCTAATGTATCAAATAAAAATTGGCACTGAAATTCCGTTGCTGTTTTCCTTAATATTACGCTAACTCGAGTCTTTGTGTATACATGGTTGCCTGTTTGGTTAACCTACAGGACGAACATCAGGCTGTGACCGAGGTACTTTAATGTTGCACGTACCCACGTTATCAGCGTCCAAACAGAGAGAAGGCCATCCAGGGAGAAGCGCTTCACATGCTGACCCTGCAACTACTACCTTTCGAATGAAAATGCTCCTGAAAGCGAGAGCAGCACAAGACTCCCGCAGTCCCCAAAAAGACATCCCATTATCAACCGAAGTCGAGGAACCTTAACGAAAATAGGACAACGAATCCACTACCGGCTGACAGGCAGATATCTGCAAACATTGATTTGACCGTTACTGTGTACGGTGGGTAGACGTTCGGCTCCAAGCGTATCGAACCCGAGGACGGACCTTCTAGAGCATATCCCAAGCCACCGGCCCGTCCGCAAGGAGACCGGTGTATTTTCCCTTGATTCCAAACTGCGTTTGTCGTGCGTGCAACGCCAGGCTCAACGTAAACCCGACGAAATAAGGGGAGGGAGAGATAGAGTGAGAACGAGTGAGAAATGGAACGAGAGATGGAAAAGTATACGGTGGGCAGTAACCGCGTACGACACCGCTATTTTTTCTATTCGGTTCATTCGACCAAATTGGACCCTCCCAACCTTCCGTCGTAAGCTAGCAACTAGCGAAAGGTCGAGCTGCTGGTTGAACAGTAGAGCAGCATGCAGCTCCAAATGCTCATGGAAACAGCACGAACTGGCGAAGCACACTAGAACATTCCTCGATTTCGTCTTCTGATGCTAGTTCACCCGACCAAAGTGTTTCGCTGAATGATATCGTTTTCCATTATCATTTCTTTCTTGTCCGAACCTCGGCCTGATCTGACCTTTTTCTCCACCACAACCCAAATTTCTCTAGGACCCTAATTTTCTCACTTATTGAGCCTGCTCCGACCTGTTTCTTAATTCGCTCGTGGTTTTGTCTTCGGTGCGCACCATATAGACAGATCGGAAAAAGGATTGCATGAACGATCTTACCCTGATATCGGTAGACCGAAGCCGAACAAGGACAGAACTCCTCCTTAGTATTACATGTGGAAGTGGAAACTAGGGGGCGGAGAATGGTTAGTGGAAACCCAATGATTGGAAATGGCTATAGCCGTTTGGTGTTATTGTATTTTTTAACACGATGTCTATGTGTATACGCGTAACAAACGCGGTGTTTTGCTCGAATTTGAGCAACAGGTGGATTTATTATATACTCACCGTCATTCTCCACGACCTTCTCTCTCATCTCTCAACCAATATATTTATGCCGCCTTATAAAAATTATTCAGGTCTAACATCGAATAACTGTCCAGCAAGTTCTTGAGATGCCCTTTTATTGCCGAATACATTGTTACGAGTTTCTTTCGCTAATGGTCCAAGATGGTAATCCATTAGCTCGATGTCTGAAAAAATATGGTGAGTGACGTCTCAAAATAATCTACTGAATTTACCCAGGGAGGCTTTAACGATACTTGCCATGTTGGTTGGCCAGGTTGGGTTTTCTCAGGAGCAGGATCACTTAATCGTGTCTGTGGAGTCCTTTCCGTTGGGTGCAACTAAGCTTTCTTGCTGGCTAGCTCTTTTTTTCACGCATTTGCTCACCCCTCCGTTCCTAGCATATGCAGGTGTGATCATTTTAAGATAGATGTCCGACCTAGCTCTGGGATTAGGTGTATTTGCCAAAACTACCCATTACTTTCTCCGTTTTTAGATCGACGCAGAGACACTGCATTCCGTCGTCCATCTTAACCAATCTTTCTGGGTTCGTGTTGCTCGATGTCGTGAGAGAACAAGTTGAAAGCCGTGTAATAGGGCATCCAAGTCCTTTATTAGTCTAGTTAGTCCCACAGGTTCTGCTAAATTCTTAGATGCTTAGTAATAATCACAGAACTGCACTTCATATTCTCATTGATTTCAGATATCTGACCTTGGCGTAGTGCATCCTTCACTTACTAAATTTCATTAATGAACTTCGCAAACCACCTTTAAACACCCCTTTGAAACATGAAGTCGACAGCGTGGCATAGCGTTAATATCCCGTGCTGCTGAGGACTTTGGCGAAAGGTTAGATAGGGCACACTTTGAAAACACTTCAGTTTCGTTAGGAACATTTACCCTTGGAGCCTAGAGTCGAATTCAGCTTTCCTTCGCTATATAATGAAATAACAACCGCTTTGTAAAAAAGGGCATTTTTGAATGTCAAATAACGCGAAGTAGTGAGGTGAAAAAGGAAAAATACGCTTGGAAAACCCGCTAATACTTATTATATCCCACACCTACATAGATTTTAATCACTTTTAGTCGATGAACTTATATCGTAGAAGCGTCCGTGGTACGCTTCTTCTAAAATCGACACCGCACAATGTAATTTGGCGCGTTTGAACTGCCGTAATATCGTCTGCTCAAACCTAGCATTAATTAGTTTCAAGTAGGATTTTCAGTATGTACATCGAGTGACAACGCCTGTTTAGTCCGGCTACTTTCCCGATTATTATTATTATAATCAATGTTTGCCATAACAGTGCACTCATTATGCGATCGAGTTTTCGCCCTGCACTACAGTTAAGCATTGCTTCTTATATCTATTCCTAGTTTTAAATTTAAATTGAGAATCAGTTATCAAAAATAGTTATCAAATCAGTTAGCAAAAATAGAACTGCCCATCCAACATATTTACTGTTTATCAACAGAAAAAAAGACAAATAAAAACGCCACATTTTTTTAACATTTAAAAAATGGAAATTCATTTTTTTTCCCATCTTTATTAATCAAACGAGCAGCAAAAGTTCATACTAGAAATTGACAGTTCTCAGTTCAATACGCTGTTTATAAATGACTATTGATTAATCGAAGCAACACCGCTATGTAATATCTATCTATTCATTTTACGGTCTGCGAACTGAAGTGCACGCAACGCGACAGCTGCACTTCATAATGGATGCATGTATCACACGACCATTCTTTATTATGAAGTTAAAACAAAATTAACTTCCAGCTTACCTTCTTTGCCAGTTGTGGAATATTACAACATCTCGAACACATACTGGTCTGTAAAAATAAAAAAAAAAAAACGATTTTTTACAGGTTTCCAATATGGGGCTATGCTGTGGGTCGACAATTTTCGCGCTCCGCTTTCTGCATCAGTCAACAACTAATGGATTCCAAAAAACACATATCAAACTTCAATCTCCAATTATTAGAGACCGCGTAATTTGGATGCTTAATACGCATCTCCCTGAGTCTGTTGCCATGGTAGCCATGAACATGCGACATTTCGATGTTGGCAAACGATCACCATAGCATATTCTTACCATGCCATTAAACAGATCTGTTGAAGAAACCCCAAATAAACCCAGTCAGACCTATTCGGGCTAGAACCTTTAGTGGGACAAGTTCTTGATGTTATATTAAAAGTGACCCCAAAGATTTGTTCACATAACAGGAAAAATCAAAAGTGTTAACAGAACGCCGGCTTTTATAGCATGCGATTTTAGAAGCAGCTCTCGAAATCTCTCTCTCATATATATATATATATACAGCGAGAGAGAGAGAGAAAGTATATATGAGTACACTCACCCCGTAATGCAATTGCCCGTTTAATGTATTTGCAGTAATAAGCTAATCTTCTAGACTGTCTTTGTTATGCTCTTAAAATGTCAACTTATAATTCCGCAAATAGCTGATAATGGTTCCTTTCAACAACACTGAAATGAGCGATACCTTTAAGCTTATTCTTCGTCCTCTTTCTCATCACCAGACGCATTAGCCACTAGCGCACCACTAGCGATAAGCTTCTTCGCTGAAGAAAGATCCCAGTCTGCCTCATAGAGTGCTTCCTAAAGGTCGACAACATCCTCGTCAAGTAAGCTGTAAAAAGATGAGCTCAAGAAATTATAAGCAAATTCACTTAGTGCCAATAAACGCACCTAATAAAAATACGAAAAGAGAAAGAACCTACACGAATGGAATCGCATGATTAGAACGTTAATGCCACACTTGATGTATTAATCTCTCTGTTGAAAGTTCATATGAGGCAACATCTTACTGTGTAAATACTCACGAATCAGCCAATATAATGAGAATCGTTACTATGAGTCGCTACCCGATATTATGAAATCAACGTAGGGTACTTTACTGCTCTTGCAATCATTTATCTATTTAGCAACAGCTTGACACAAATATTAACTCACTCATCAAAAAGAGTTCTTAAATGGGTCGCACGATGCTCAACCGCCTCCTGATCCACGGCTGCCCGGCGTTCCTTTGATATTTGGGATTTTACGTTTCCAGTTTTCTTGCTGGCCTTCTTCACAGTGACGACAGACCTTTTCCGGCTCCTTTTGGATTTGTCAGCTTCGTTAACTGTCCGTTTGCTTCCTCCTCCTCGTTATCAAAGTCATTTTTCGCATCTTCCATTGCGTTGCCCGTGTCTTTGTCGTCCTTTGGCTGGCCGTCATTATCTTCATCTACGACCTTCTTTGCTTTGTTATTTCTCTGCGTATTCTTGGCCGCCGCCTTCTTACGATTGATCGCTTTACCTTTACCGTCCCAGAAGCACTCGGCATCGTAATCCTGCTCAGTTTCGTCACTGCTTACTCGGTCGATGACAGGTGGTTTGGTAGCGCTTCTTTGAGGGGTACGTTTCGCGGTTGCGGCCTCTACCCTGTCTGCGGAACGTTTACTCTGGACCTGTTTTTTACCTGTGGGAGCCGGCACCCCGGGCTCCGCTTGGTACGACGCAGAAGTTATGTCTGTATTTCTCAATTTACTTGTCCAGTGCTTAGCTTCCACCGGTGCTTCTGTCGAATGATTGTGAGTGAACAGCGAGAAATTGTCAAGTGTTAATATTGTAGCGATATGACTTATATGAGGAAGTATGTATAAAACGTATATATATATATACTTTTTACGTATATACATGCATGTATATATATATATATATATATATAAACATTTATGTACTACCATTTATGTATACACATTTTTCGTCTTTGTGGAGTGGTTCTTCTACGCCAATAGTAATCTTTTGCCACGTATATCCTTTGACTAAAAGTTTTTTAAAAAACCTAACCGTTTGAATACAGAAGATAATCTTGCGTCAAGAACTACCTTTATTGGATTGACCAATCACAACCATAAGGATGAGCTTAAACTTTGGTGCACTAACCGAAGAAGTTTGAACCGATTATTGTCCTCCTTGTGCATAATCTGGGTATTGTGTATTACTCCTATCAAGGATTGCACATAGATTCCTTTTACAGGTCAAGTCCAAACCTATGCGTAGAGTAAATCCTCTCCCACCGTACCCTAACTCACATTCTGCGATTCCTGACACAGACTCGCGACCGATCCGGTTAGTAGAGTTCACAATTTGTATTAAATAAAAAAAAAAGCCTAATTGCACAAGTATAACTATGTCATACTGGCGCTACTTTCGACCAATAAGGTTCTCATAGTCTAATAAAATATTACAAATCTTCAGTTATAAAAAAATGTTGCAACCAGTCTCTATCACCGGTAAAGTAATTGTTGTGTTCCGTCTTGTCTGCAGTCTTATCAGGCCTGGCTAAAATTTACTTCAAAATCGGTAATAACAGCCTACCTGTAGAAGCTCCGCTGGTCATTTCGCCGGCTGGCGTCTTTCTCCCCATTGGCCCTATTTTTTTGTTTTCAGGTAATGCGTTTGTCGATCCCTTTCCTATACATTTAAAAGATGATTTTGAAAAAATAAAGGAACATCAATAGCAAGCGATAAATACTTTTCCGTTGCGTATTTTAAGTATTAATTCAAGGACAGCATGTGCAACAACAGCAGTCATCAAATGTCAGCGTGTTTAAGCCTATAATTGTCTTTTGGGTTTGCACCTTAGTTCCGAGTAAGTACACGCAAAAATGCGGATTTTCGCACAAAAGGGCATGTGATCCTATTGGATACTGTAGCCGGGTACATGTGTACTGACTAAACTCAGTGTCATCACAACTCTAATTAGAAAGCACTGACTCTCATTGGAAAACATGGTAAGTCATTTCGATGGAAGAGAACCACTTTGACAAAATAGTCCGTCACGAATGTTTCGGCCGGACGATAAACTACTCATTTGAATAAGGTTAGTTACATCCATTAAATAATAAAACCTAATTATGTGTTAAGTGTTACCGGCAGATTAAATACATTTAGCAATTTCAATGGCCTTTCGCTATCACAACACGTGAGAATTTATAGAGCTATAGAAGACCTAAGCTAGTCAATTCGACCTTTCCGAACAGGGTTTGTTAACAACAAAACAATTGTTATCCTATGTTTATCCAAGATTTCCCTATCTTGTGACCTAAAATAATCTTACGACGATTCATAACTTTTTTTGTTTAAAGATACCTCTGTTTTTAGCCCATATAGCCTTATATATACAGCTTAAGTTTTATAGACTAAAGCTAAAGTTAGATGGGCCACTAATAATTCTGTGCTGCAAAACAAATCATTCAATAAATCTAGAGGGATGCTTGTTTTCCGAGGTAGAGCTATGATTTTGGCTAGCAAAGTCAATGCTTCATAATCTGTTAGTGCAAAATTACCCAGGTCAAAGATCATGATTGATCTACCATAGATTTTTCATGAACTTTTCCCGGCAAATCCTAGGCCGCGTTTTAAATGACCCAAATACTGGCACATGCAGAAGTCTTACTTTGTTTAAAAGTTAAGGCGGAAACTATAACAATGTGGATACTATTTTTCAAAGCTAACTGGACCCCTCTGACTTTTATAGCTTCTAATAGAGATACCGCACTACCGCATCAACAACAAAATACATGTACACTTGCTAGGGTAATTCGCAATATTAAATAATTTCTAACTGGATTTTGCCCTCGGACTTAATCCATCTTGTTTTGCGATTGCACTCTAATAGATATAACAAATGTGACCTTCTACTGGATTGAACTATTTATTTTATACTGCACTGGACCTGTTCGTTTCAGCGCTATAATATTCAACGCACTTACATTCTGCTTCAGTACAAAACTACTGAACGTGATGGAAATAATGGTTTTACCTAGCGATTGGAGCTGTGATTACCATGTCGCAAAGGTTTTCAGCGTTCAAATTTACTGACCGTAAACATTAGCCGCCACCATAAGTGTGCGTCGAACAAGTTTGTTTCAGTTTACATATGACGCTTCTGCGCTGGCAGAAGCGTAACAGGCAAAATTCTATTTTAGATGGAAATTGAATTAGCGAACTTTCGGTAGAGCACCGCCCCTTGCTGCTCGTCTTTCCTGCCACGTGACTGTCTGTCCCGGTACAGCTGTGTTGTAGCGGAGCTTATTCTCTCAGTTCCTAGAATTGCGTTAAAACGATTTTTCCAACAAGACCTTATATTCTTATCAGTTTGCTTGACGTTTTTCGCGAACGAAAACATCTAATAAAACGATGACTTGTTGCTGATGGAAAAAACAAGATGTTTTTCTTTTCAGTTGGGATAATCAGCGTAACGGTAACGTAGGATACTGAGGAAGCTTATTATGAGAAAAGCATCTCAGATGTACAAGCATTTAAGTTGATTTATTGCCCATATATTTTCGTCATTTTTCTAATTTTCACTAGTTAATGGTAAAGAACAGAAAGTAAGGAGCGCCGCAATGGCACTAAGTAATCAACAGATGTTTCTGGCTCAGTGGCGGCTGGAGAAATTATCTCCGAAAAAACTATTTCGCGCTGTACTACAACTAGTTTCAGCTCAACCAGAAAACCTATGTTGGACAGATGTCCAAATGTGTTTCATGCAAATTCTATGTGTGATATATCGGTTATAACAAAAGTTTATTTTGTTACACCACATTTTTTGCATTATTTGTTTAAAAAGAACTATATGGCTTCACCATATGGCTATAGAACTAACGGTTCTAAGCCATATGGTGAATGTACCATTATGAAGCGAGAAACAATTATACCTTAGATCGTGCGATGGTCAAAAATCTGCCCCATTATTACAGTCGTCCAAATTGACTCCAAACGATCGAAAGAGTATTTTCGTTTATTCAATTTACAATTTTTCTGCAACACATTTGTATCTGTGACTGGATTCCCAAATAACCATACAGCCTAAGTTAGTCAAACGCTATTATCAACACAAAGAACAATAACCTAAAGATTCTATTCCTTTTGCAATAAAGATATTCCTCCACTTGAATAAGCAATCCTACCAGTGAACGCGCAGACTTCAGATAAGGTTTGTTAAGCGTAACGTAGATGACCTGTGTGATGTTTATTGCCCTAGATATCGGTGGGTGCACAAAAATCACAACACAGGTTCCAATACGCAAAAGTTGACCTCAACTTAACAGTTCGACTTGTATTGCCAGTATATCATTGTTCTAACGTACCGGCAACGGCTAAACACTGAGGCTTGCTGCTCACCGTTTCAAAGACACGGCGCACTTCCCAACAAAAGCACGATCTAACTAATAATACACTTCAACTAACTGACCGATTTTCTTCATAGCTATTTTAGCGCTGATCTGGTGTTAGCCCCTTGCGATCAGCTGTTGTTTTGTCAAGCGCCATGGGTCTCTCTGCCCAATGAAATGGCGGGAAATTCAAACTGAAGAAAATTCAGTTCGTTGTCTCACCATGCGAGCTTTGAGCTCGTTACTACGTTTAAGACAAATGTAGGTCGTGGCTTTGAACAAAAACAGTGTTATAAAGGTATTCGGTATCGATCAGGAGGGGTCTATGATAGTCGAGAGGTAAGAGTTCCAGAAAGTACAAAAGCCGATCTATTTGTTTTTTTGAGATTTATCGGAGCAATCGCAGAAGACTATGCAAATCACTTTAGTCAGACGTGGTCGTGAAATTGTTGGCTAAGCTGGCGACTTATTGGTCTCATTATTGGCTACGAATCGAAAAACTCGGTAGATATCTTAATGCTTTCCGCAAGAAACTAAGCGATCATTGGGATTAATCACAGGTTGATCAGTTTCTGTGCAGAAGTACTAACGATTTCTTATCTTAAATTGCCTATAGGGTAGAGTCATTGGCTGCCGCTTGGAGTCTTCTCGGATGACAAAGTGGACGATACGTTCTTGAGCAAGATGGCTAACAAAGACGCGAGACATTATATGTTTTGCATACCTACTTGTGAAATCGCAAGACACTATCTGATTTTAGCCTACAGTTCACACAGTAATTGACGCATTGTTGTCGTACATATGCGTAAGTTATTCAAATGTATTTGAGTTTTTTTAGGTTTAATAACAATATTTCTTTAACTCGACGATATTTTTCCTAATGCATGTATGTTAAGCGGTCCTTATTTGACCAGCGTGTTTTTAAATTCATTTAATGGCACTTCCTTTAAATGTAAAGACGAACTCTGATGATCTACGAAGTAGTTCAGTAAGGCGCTGTTATGCAGCCGACGTGATTTAAGGAGACCCTAAGAAATGAAGAAAAATGTGAGAATAAAACTAAATCCATGCGAAAATGCACAGAAGTCATCTCACCCAACGTCAAAACACAAAAAATTGAGATCGCTTCTTGAAATGTTATATTTTTCTTGACTTTTTTCCTATATATATATATATATATATATATATATATATATATATATAATATTCTTACTTAGCATTTTACAGACTTAACGTCGTACGTTGCAAGCTATAATAGATGCATGCTGCGCAAAGTCATTATCTAACACAGTATTTATTCGATTATCTAATATCCTTATGGGGATCCAAGGTTATCCTTAAGGTGACATTTTCGTCGATGTATTTTTTCCACAACTTCTTGTAATCCCACAACGAAATTGTAGATTGTTGAATTTTGAGCAGTTTGCCATAACAGTGACCAAACAAAGAGTGCAGGGGGAAAAGCCTTTGGCGAATTCAGCATCGTACCGTACAGCATGAGGACTACAATAAAGGGTTGTCAATCAACAGTGCCTATCTAAAAATATGGTGATGAAACCAAGATAAAAAAAATAACGTCTAGGAAAACTCATTAAGCCATTGTTTGAAAGCTTGACTGCGGGATATGAGACCAATGAAGGTGGTTTCCATCGGTGGAGGAACCAGTCGTGGGAGTCGATGAGTTCGGAGGATTAAAGGATTTCATTCGCGATTCTGCGGCTCCTTTTATTGCTACTTCTGTGGTTTCGAATGAAATGAAAGTGTCCCGCGGTTACAGGCCGACTAAAGTCGAAGTGTGATTTACTTTTGACCGTCTGCCATTAACATTTCTTGACGCATTTTGGAAAAAGATTCCTCATTCTAAA